CACTAAATGATGAAAACACAACAAGGAACATTGCAAGTTTTTTTATGATTTGATGAAATAATCGGTGATCTTTATTTAACTATAATGTTGGACGATGATATGTTGCGTGGACCTAGCGAGATGGTCAAATCGACGAATCGAAGTTGTTTTTTTTATATGCAATGACCGCTGGTGCCTTTTGTATTTTCTGTCTCGCGAGCCGCTGGTGCGTTTTCCACTGTTTAGACACATACTGTTCAAAGTTTCATCTAGTTGTCCTAGTTGTTCAAATATTGAGTCAACTTCTCATAAAACAAGCTATTTACAATAAATTGAGACTTTTTGCAAATAACCTCATTTTTTGTCACGTATTTCTCCCAAAAAAGGGTACAACTTGGCAACAATGGACAACATTTATCCTATCTGTCAAGAAACGAATGTTATAAAATTGGCCAGTCAGATTTGTTTGTACTTTCAAATATTTCTTATAAACGCAAACACTGATCTCATTGAAAATACGCGAATAGAAAATGGTTAAGGAATTTCAATAAGATGTTGAAAAATCACAACTTAACGCCTCTACGCAGTTTACCAAGTAAATACCATCATTTACTCGTATGTATGTATTTTGATCTGTTATTTTAGCTAATAAGCAAATGTGTAATAACACGGCTGATTTTGAACCTTTTTTGCAAAAAACAACGATTTTTCACAGTTTCACATTTATTTTAATTAGTATTATACGTTGTATGTTATATTCTTATAATTTAGAGCACCATCTTGTTCAAAAAGCAAAAAAAAGCGTATAGAACAGTATTCCATTCTAGAGTATTACCACCAAAATGCAACTTTGAAGTTCTATAAAATAGCAGGCAGAGGGTTCATCAAAGAAAAAATGATATTTTCGGGCAAGTTACATCCTAATCTCTCATTTTAAAGTCAGGAATGAAGTATTTGCGATATACGCTAAAGTATAGTCTTACCTCTAAAAGTTCTTAGGGAAGGTGAGTATTAATTTCACAATCTCATTTTAACGCCACGAGATAGTATATAGGAAGCTGAGTACACCTAAAAAACTATGAATACTAAATTGATTAATATACGAGTACTTCCAAACCTTTTTAATGGTGAAGTATAGTGACAATGATGTATTACCAGGAAGCTTTGATTATGCGATATATGTACCATTAATAAATATTTAATTTCTTGTCTATGTCTCATTTGTTTTCACTGCTTATCAATAATAACTGAGCGAATCACATTGCAATGCATATAGAATTTCTGCCTTGCTCTACGTGAGTACACATAGCTACTTGAATATTCTTACCAGGGAAAATAATGTACACCGACGTATCGGTTTTTCGCTTTGGTAGGATGATAGGCAAATTGGGCAAGAGTGTGAACTAAAACTCACGATTTTAACGACATACAATACAATGTAAACACATCCACTTGGTTCCTTCTAATCCATTCAGATTCGTAGCTTCAATGTGTGACATTATGGACATTTGCTCCAAGGGCAGATAATAAATCATTCCGTATCTCAGCACTTAAGGCTTTTTTGCGTCTACAATCGCAAGTACCGTGTTTTCCTTTTAAGTTACCAGACCAATATATCTGAAGCTTTACGATCAGCCAATTCTCGTAGGGATTCGTTTCAAGGGTAAAACAAAGCCATTGTATTTTTTTCGGGAAAGGTTTACCTTCAATTTATGGGGTCTGAAGCATGCAATATACGGGAGTCTCTGACAGATACATTAGGTCAGACTCTGTAAGGGATACCCATACCCTCCTTCTAAACATTGTAGCTGAAAATCACGAGGCGCGTATAGGGGTAAGGCTAAAAGTTCTCGCCCGACAATGGAAAGCTGCGATTTTCAGTCCAATAATGTTTTGTATTTTCTTCAGGATGTTTTTTCGACTCCAGTACTTAGCGACAGGCAGTATGTTTTCATGCCTCAGCGATCCACGAGAGATCTCCTAGCTTGCGTCACGCAGCTTTGAAGTAAACTCAACGAGTCTTATGATAAGGCTCATGTCGTTGCTCTTGATATCGTCTCAGAGAAGCTTTGAAAATGGGTGGCACACTTCTTCTCTGGCCACAAAATTGAAGGGTTCTCCTCTTCATCCCACAATGTGAATGCAGGTGTTTTCCAGGTATCCGTCTCCGCTACGACTATTCCACTTGGATATCAACGGGTTCATTTTCAATACGATAAATCCGATCCACAGCTTAGCCGATGACAGCACTCCACATGCATTAATTCAGAGTGACAAGCCGATCTCTGCCGGTGAGTTGGTGAAAAGAAGACTAGCAGCGAATTCTCCTCTTACGGGAGACCTGGAGGTTAGCACTGCTTGAGAACGCAACAATCTGGTAGCTTAACTTTTCCAAAACATAGTACTGTATATTGGCAAATAAGAAGTGCCTTAGCGCTCATCCAGTTTCCATGTGCAGCTTGTATCAGAGATCCGTTATTTTTAGCTGAGAGGAGTCCGGATCCTTGAGGATCTGATTTGCCAAGGACACATCAATAGCGGCATCTGCTGAGGAAAAGCTAGGCCAGCGGTTCCCAAACTTTTTAAGTCGCGGAGCACTTTTGGACAGGAAAATTGAACGCGGAGCACTAGAGTAGGCTGTTTGATGGTTTCAACTGCCTGCAACTGGATATAGGTCTTTGTTCAATTTTAGAAACGTACATTGAAGAAACAAATATTTATTAAACAAAAAGAACAACTAACTCTAGCACAGAAAAAAATGTAATATTTATTAAATGTACCTAATATAAGCCAAAAGCAAATTTTAAAGTAATGTGTGAAAATAACATAAAACAAAAACTTATTTCGATACAAAAATGAAACATGAAACATACATCCAAAAGCAAAACTACAACTACTTAATAAGACCACCAACTTTTCTAATGAGAAGGATGTGCTTGTTTTAATTTGCTTAATGCTGTGATGTTAGGTTCAATTTCAGACAACTGTAAACGAATATCAGGTTCTGTATTAAGACGCGACCGGTATTTAGTTTTGGTCATAAGATAAGCAGAAAATCCAGCTTCACATAAATAAGTAGTAGCAAAAGGCAGCAGAATAGTTTTTGCTTTATCTGACAGAAGATGAAATTCATGTCTAAGTTTACACCAAAATTCTATTATTGATGACTTTGTTAGAAATATATCTCGTATTCCAGAATCAGATGTCAAGTCGATCAAACATTCATATTCTTCAGATGTTAAACTCGCTGGCTTTTCAGGTATTGCATTATATGGGTTTGCAACCCAAGAATTGTAATTCATTTTGTCATGAAATTCTTCTGGAAAATATTCCTGGTAATTATTGCGTAAAGTTATAAGATGAATATAGAACTCGTTCATAAGATCAATTGGTAGATCAAAATCAAATTCTTCTTTAAGTTCTTTTAACGACGGAAAGCTGTCCAAATTTTGTTTATTCAGGGACTCTGCCCAAAAGACCAATTTTCTTTTAAACGCTTTTATTCTGTCGTTAACATCAAAAACAGAGATTAACTTTCCTTGAAGTGACGTGCTTAAATCATTAGCTTTAGAAAAAATATCAGCCAGATATGCCAACTTTGATATCCATTGCTCTTCGTTAAATCTCCCTTTTAATGCGAAGTCACTTTCCATCAAAAAACTCCTTACTTCGGCTCTTAATTCAAATAGCCGAGTTAAAGTTTTGCCCCGTGAGAGCCATCTTACCTCCGTATGAAGCAGTAAAGTCGTATGTAGACTACCCATATCATCACACAATATTTTAAACAACCTGGAATTTAGGGGGCGAGATTTGATATAATTAATTATTCTTACACATTCATCCAAAACTTCTTTTAAGGAAGGTGACATTTTTTTGACGGCTAATGCATGACGATGAAGAACACAGTGACTATTATTGCAGTTACTATTTTTTTCTTTAATTCTAGCTACAACACCACTTGTTTTTCCAGTCATAGCCTTTGCGCCATCGGTGCATACATCAATGCAATTCTTCCAAGGTATATCATGTGCAACAAAAAATTCGTCAAGCAATTTGAAAATCTCAGCCCCAGTAGTACTAGTTGGTAGTGGCTTGCAAAAAAGCAAATCTTGAAAAGAGTTGCCAAATTGGAAGCGAACAAAAACTATCAAATCAGCCAACCCAGCCACATCTGTCGATTCATCAAGCTGTAGCGAAAAGGAACTACCTTTTATTCGAGAAATTAAAGTGTTTTTTACGTCATCAGCCATTTCTACAATGCGCCTAGAAATAGTGTTATTTGATAGTGGAACTGTAGTAACTAGTTTCACATCCTTTTCATCCATCATAGTTTCAACTATATCTTTGACGCAAGCTTGATTAAAGTTTCAGCAATAACATGAGGCTTGCCTGCTTTAGCGATTCGGTAACTAACTAAGTAGGATGCTTTTAACGACCTTTCGTTCAGTGTCTGTGCATGAAAAGTTATACTTTTTTGTGTATTTTTTAATTCACTGGATTTTCTTTGAAAAAAATCATTCGGTTTGTCTTTACATTCAGGATGAACTCCTTCCAAATGTCGTCGCATTTTCGCTGGAAACATAGCACTGTTGGGTAACACTTTACCGCATATTACACATTGTGGTTTATTGTCGTTGGTTTCAATGAATCCTATATCCAGATAAGAATCATGGTATTTTCGTTTTGCAGTTTTTCTCTCACAAATACTCATCTTTGATGGACCAGATGTTTGACAATCAATTACTTCAGCTGATGTTAGTACACTCGCAACAGACTCGGATTTTCTCAATATCTGCAATTCTGTGTCTTCAGTGTGAGCTATTTCCCTATTTTCTTTTTCCATATTGCTAAAAACAATACTCGATTCAGACAAATACTTTTAAAAATAAGATTTTAAAAATCTGGCACCTACCCGTTCCCAAAAAACTCACACACAAGTACAAAAAACTGCTTTTGTAGTAGGGGAAATATGCCTAAAACGAAATATGCGTTGCCACTTATACAGTAATTTTTATTTCACGTCAAACGTAAGTATCCCATTTTACCCGTATTTCCCCTACCTTAAAATGTACAAATCCGTACCTGTTGGAGTTAGATCCCTGCATTTCTGCATCTGTAGCTGAAATCGCTGTTTTCTTCAAAACACCTGTTTTAAGCCAAAGATCCATTATAAAACAAGTAAATTTAACCTGGAAATAGATATTTCACCATAAAAAAAGATACATGTATGTTAGTCAACCTACTTACGAATGATAACTTATCCCAACTTCAATTCAATTAGTGAAATTCAAAGGCACAATCGCAAAAAATAAATAAAAACTGTGTTATCTCTTTGCGATGCACCCGACACACATTTAGCGAACGTAAATCGTATGTTCCGGAAAGAACAAGTCATATCCTAGCATTAATACGAAAAAATACGATTGTTTCCGAACTGTTCCGGCGCACAGTACATTGAAGTGCGGCGCGGCGAATCTTTGCATTAGTAAGGGGCTTGATGTAACATCAAGGAAAATATAACATTATAGGTATTACTTGAATACGATATTTCTCAGATGAAATCCGCGAAGTACTTTTTCCCTCAAAACCTCCTCACTCCGTTCAAGGCCCAGATCAGATCTAGCCTCGAGTACTGACTACATGTTTGGGGTGCTGCCGCCCCGACTATATCGTCCATGCCCTATGCTGTTTAGAGGAGGGTTGTTTGCCTGATCGATGACTCTTCTCTAACGCACAGTTTTGGAACCCGTTTGCACCGATGGGATGTCGGCGACCTAACTCTCTCCTATCGCTATATCAACGGACGTTGCTACCCACAGCTCTCCTTCATGATGCCTCCACGCGATGTGTCTGCCACACAGATCCACCTGACTTTGACCTCCCTAACCATGACCTAACCATGTCAACAACTTTGTGGAACGATCTACCTGAACTTCCTTCTTGATAAAGCGAGTCTCGATGGCTGACAAAATATTCATCAACCAACCCCCCCCCCTCCTCCCTTAACAGAAGGGCATTCCAGAAATATCCTTTATCTAAATTTGAGACCCGACACAAGTCTGAATGTGCCAAATTCTGAAAATAGATGTGACGATCAAGCAAAGCATACAATTTCCAACTGCTAAATCACCTATGTGAGTAGGTGCATTGTCCTGACTAAAAATGATTATTTGCTTCTCCAAGCCCGGCCTCTCCCCTCGAAGTTTGGCATCCAGTAGATCAGGAAGTCTGTGATAATATGCATCGATACTTTTTCGTGATCAAACAACAGTATCCCCTTCACATCCCAAGTCACACTGACCATGACCTTTCTTGCAGATGCATTTGACTTGTTCTTCAGCACCAAGGGCATCCTCTCCAGGCAAAATCAAGGAAACTTCCTTAGCAACAGTTTTTTTGACAAACGACAGTTTGACTTTCCCTCTGAAACTTCCATTTTGTTTTTACTCGTAAGCTGTGTGTGTGTGTGTATTTTCAATCAGGTAAGCTACACATCAAATTTTTAATTATTGATTTAATTCCCAATCGAGACATTATCGTTCATAATCTTCATATAATACTCGTAATAGTAATAATAACATTTGTCATATATCTTTCGATGTGAAACACTTCTGATTGTGTGCAGGAATACTTGAGTGTGCATTCTTCAATAAGCTTGTTTTTCTTTTGTAAATTTTAATCGATTCAGTCATGTCTGGATTTGGAGTTTCCTCTTCGTACATCGTACTCATGCAAATATCCTTCTTGCAAAAATTTCTGTTCTCACATTGTTCAGAAATCTGCTTGTATATACAAAAATGAAGTATTTCATCGGTTTCCAAAAGATGACACAGCCATTTCTGCGTGGAAGACAGCTTGTCAGATATTTCCACTCGTAAAGTTGCCAATTATTATGTGTGAGAGGATGTATCAATGTTTGATTGTAATAATCCACAAGATCATTCACATCTCGATTTCTTGCCATACCAGTGTCCCCCAATGTAGTTTTAAATTCAAATAACAGCTTTCCTACTAAACCAGGTCGCAGTTCAGTATCTAGAGTTTAACTCAATGACCCTCCTGGAGGGGCTATCAAAAATCCAACCCCTTCTGAGCAAAATGAGAATTCCAGTGTTATTCTGAAACATCAAAACATTGAAATCAGTGGAAGTGGTTTTATAAGAGAATCTAATTATTTAGGTAAATAGTACTTTTTGTTAGAGAAGCGCTCTCGCATATTAACAAAATTTTTCACATCAAAGCGGGAATTCAGCTCTGAGGAATCAATTATATCAAGTCCACCGAAATGTTTGCTCAAGGCTATCGAAATTAAAAGCAATTCTGGGAAATAAAAGTGCCCATTTGTATTCATTGAAACGTTTATATCAATTTAATATATTAAAGAAAATCTTAATGAGGTCACCGAAAGTTTAATTAATTCACAGTTGAGAAATTTGAATAAACATCCAAATGCTTACCGGTGGACAACTAGAGACAAAAACTTTTGCTCGTCCACTATTATACAGATACCTCAGTACCATTTTTATGTTACCATCCGTTAGCTTATTAAAATCAATTTTATCATCAATTCCTTTCGAATGTGGCATAATTAAACCTGTTTCAGGATATTTAAAAACTACAGTTCATTCATTGAATTTTCTATGTGATATTATACCTAAACAGTTATTTTGTTTTGTTTTATGGTTGCAACATCCTTGGGAGAGAGCAGTTGGACCAAGAATAATTATTTATTTTGTTGCTTCCTGTAATGTCTGAGACATCTGGAACTTTTGATTTTAAGTATGAGGATTGTCTTTTTTATTTACAACTTTGATTCCTTCTTTGAGGACAATTTTCCACATTTATTTTATCAGATTAGATTTTTATTTTAGTTATTTCTTTCACTACAAAGATTTATTTTTTGTTGTTTCAGTATGAATGTATACGTTTTAGTGATAAATATACCTTATGATGGATTAACAACAGGTAGTGACAACAAGTAGTGCTTGCATCATGCTGCTAATGAATTCCTTTGTTTCTTCTTTTTATCGTTTTTTATCCTACTAATGTATGAATTGTAATTTTTTTGTTCACTTAATAATACAGAGGAAGCTCCGGATGACTATATTGTCAATGTGCTGTGATGATGACTTGTTAGTTATTATTATTTATATATTTAACTATCTAATAAATATTTTATAAATTACGCATGTCTTATTATCCTAAAATTGTTTATCCGCAAAGCTGTTGAAACAGGTATTTCCTTTATTGAGGATATTCTTTCCATCTCTGTTCATAAAACATTCCTTGAATATGCGAAATCTCACGTTCAGCAGATTTTAAATTGTAAACAAACTAAATCCCCAGCACATTCCTAGCATTCCTAATCTCCCGGCGCATTCTTTGCATTCCTTCAAAACATCCTCCAGATCTCCAGGCAAGCAGGAGATGCATCTGACAGACGTTACCGGTGTTATCATTGTTTAACGTACAGCTCCCACGTTTTCAGTATTATGAGTTTTGGGTTTCAGGTGTGGTTGCGGTATTTGACCGTCCGCGTCCGTCACATGGGTCACCTCCCAGGGAAGCGATAAATATAAAATATATTGTCACTGACACTATTTGATCTGTAGTTTAAAACACCTCACCGAGGTGGCCGAAACGTTAGTAACAAGATAAGCCTACGTCATATGTAGCTAAGTTACATTGAAGTTCTGCATGTGGACAGCTGTTTTGAGTCATCAGCGGTCTCTGAAATGATTTCTTTAGAAAGGCTACTAGGTCCAGAAATTACTGTTCGGTGTTTGATGGAAATTTAATACAAAAATGGCAAGTCTTCAAAAAAGGAAAACCTCTCGACTGGTCGTATTACACTGTTATCGCTTAACGACTTGAAAATTTTGAATCGTTTTGCATAGAGTGGTATCAAGAGATAAACATCATTTTACCACCAGCATCTCCTCATATCCAAAGAATTGTCATTAACTGGTTTAACCACACGTTTCTTATTCCTTCATATGATAGTGCATTCTTCTACACAGTTAGACTAGTGAGAATTGCAAATTCTTGAACAAACAAATAAGCATTAGCGAAAGTTCGAAGTAAACGGAAGAATCTTCTGATATGATATAAAAACAAAAACAATCAAAACAAAACCTTTAAGCTGGGAGAAAAATTTTCCACTCCCAGGAATACTGTGTACTCGGGTTGACGGGTTGCGGTTACCAGTTAGCGGGTAGGTCAATATGAGCACCCTGGAAAAATGGTCTCTCCGCTCACCTGCTAGAACCGTTTTTGCGGGGCGGATAGTAAAAACGGGCCTGTCCATATCGAAGCGCGCTCGGTTGACTGACATCCTCCTTTTCACGTTGACCATCGTGATTTAATTCTGCCCGGGAGATCGGGAACTGTACCCACATGTTAAAAGTAGATAAGTGGTGTCAAGTAGATTGAATCTATACATCCTGGAGGTTTCAAAGAAAAGAGATGAGTCAAATCTCCCTTCGAACTTTGCATAGGAACTGTATAAAGCAGATCTAGCATATTTCTGTTTCTATGGCAGATGTAGGAAAAATATGTGTGACTTAGTATTTCTAACAAGTGCATAGTAAGTAAATAGCAGTTTCTTAATAATAGATGGTTTTTCACTGGCACCAAGTATGCAACAATTTACAAGCATTTACCGCATAGAGCTTCCAACCTACAATTTTCATCCCCTACAAACAATGTCTGAAAATGAGCAGGAATCTCTGAGGCGTAAGACAATCTTCCAGCGCTTTTATTTCCGCCACCTCTGTATAAATTTTCATAATCTATGACTACCTAAACGATAATATTCGAACATTAGTTCACAAGTTTTCTGTAGCTTAAAGATATCTGCATCGCACAAGTCCGTGTTTCTCATTCATGTCGGTTTGTCAGTCCGTGTCTGTTGTCTATCAATGCGTTATAGGTACCGAGTCAATCTACTTGACGAAATATTGAGAGAATTACCATAGACGGAGTAACACAAACTAAAGGTTGGATGAAATACTTGGTACACTTAAGGACCAAAAATCAAAAAAATATATGTATAGATATAAAAACGGTCATCATTTACAAAAGAATCGCAGAACGCTAGTTGTTTGTACATCTAATATCCAAATATTGCTAAGATATATAAATATTTCTTCTGTACCGTGTATCAGCTGCAGTTTGATCCCCATTGCAC